TTGAAGTGGAAACACATCAAAGTTTACTCCTCTGGTATCATGACAACCCTAAACCACACCCACCTGTGATGTCACTGTGTCTGTGAGTCTGACATCACTGCAGCACAGACGTCAACAACTAATTCACTTTCTGCCAACAACAGTCCTGAGTCTAACGCAGAGAGCATCAACATAAACACCAAACAAGCTAACTCAGCTAGCTGCTAACTGTTGCTAACATGTAAATAAAGCTCTAATGTGATTGGTGGACGGTCTGTCCAATAAAGCTGTCAGGTGTTTGTCAGCTGATCCGTGTCCCTGTCGCGCACAGATCCCTCGGTTTAAAGGACAGACTCTCAGAGGACAGATTCAGACAGCAGCCAAGGTAACACCCTGAGGATTAGCTTTAGCTTCATGCTAACACTCACTCACCTCTGCTTACTAACTCTGACATCACACGTGTTGCATCATTATTAACCCTCTCAGTCCCAGCGTCCTGCTCACTGTCACCATCAACATGTCTCTCTGTTTCATCTTTAAAACAAGAAACAGACTGAAGTACGAGGAGCTCACATCCTGTTCTGAGTCTCCTCACTAATCAGAATCCAAACACATCATTAAGACCCGTCAGTGGGAAGAGATGATCCTCCAGTCTTTGACCTGAAGCTGTCTTTGTGTCTTTGTGTCTTTGTGTCTTTGTGTCGTTGTGTCTTTGTGTCGTTGTGTCTTTGTGTCGTTGTGTCTTTGTGTCGTTGTGTCTTTGTGTCTTTGTGTCTTTGTGTCGTTGTGTCTTTGTGTCTTTGTGTCGTTGTGTCGTTGTGTCGTTGTGTCTTTGTGTCTTTGTGTCGTTGTGTCTTTGTGTCGTTGTGTCGTTGTGTCTTTGTGTCTTTGTGTCGTTGTGTGTCTTTGTGTCTTTGTGTCTTTGTGTCGTTGTGTCGTTGTGTCTTTGTGTCGTTGTGTCGTTGTCTTTGTGTCTTTGTCGTTGTGTCTTTGTGTCTTTGTGTCGTTGTGTCGTTGTGTCTTTGTGTCTTTGTGTCGTTGTGTCTTTGTGTCTTTGTGTCGTTGTGTCTTTGTGTCGTTGATCAGGGCTCAGAGGGCGGGGAGTCTCTGGGTAAAGGAGACTCCCAGCAGCAGCAGCGGGGCTCCAAACACGGAGACACCTCGGGTCTGCAGAGGGACCGGGAGGACCTGGACCGGGAGGACCTGGACCGGGAGGACCTGGAGGACGACCCTGACGAGGGGGACTCGTTCTTCGACGACCCGCTGCCCAAACCACAGAAGACCTATGGCTGGTGAGGACAACCGACCTTTACCTTTAATATGAAAGAGCCCTGATATATTTGAATAAGCGGCTATATTAACCTCTGACCCCAGGTCAGCTTCTATTGACCTCTGACCTCAGGTCAGCTTCTATTGACCTCTGACCTCAGGCCTGTGATCTTGTAGTTCTCCTGTGATCTTGTAGTTCTCCTGTGATCTTGTCGTTCTCTTGTGATCTTGTAGTTCTCTTGTGATCTTGTAGTTCTTCTGTGATCTTGTAGTTCTCCTGTGATCTTGTAGTTCTTCTGTGGTCTTGTAGTTCTCCTGTGATCTTGTAGTTCTCCTGAGATCTTGTAGTTCTCCTGTGATCTTGTAGTTCTCCTGTGATCTTGTAGTTCTTCTGTGGTCTTGTAGTTCTCCTGTGATCTTGTAGTTCTCCTGTGATCTTGTAGTTCTTCTGTGGTCTTGTAATTCTCCTGTGATCTTGTAGTTCTCCTGAGATCTTGTAGTTCTCCTGTGATCTTGTAGTTCTCCTGTGATCTTGTAGTTCTTCTGTGGTCTTGTAGTTCTCTTGTGATCTTGTAGTTCTTCTGTGGTCTTGTAGTTCTCTTGTGATCTTGTAGTTCTCCTAAGATCTTGTAGTTCTCCTGAGATCTTGTAGTTCTCCTGAGATCTTGTAGTTCTCCTGTGATCTTGTAGTTCTCCTGTGATCTTGTAGTTCTCCTGTGATCTTGTAGTTCTCCTGTGATCTTGTAGTTCTCCTGTGATCTTGTAGTTCTCCTATGATCTTGTATGGACTATAAAAATAAGCAGTAATATGAGAACTATTGGGGTGTAATCTAAAAACAGCAGAACAACCCTCTAAGGCTTTACCTCTTTCTGTCACTTTTGTGAACGAGAGAAAGTAACAAAGAAGAAATCCAGGATGTAAACGTTGATATGAAATGTGAGGTGCAGTTTGATATAAAACAGACCAAAGATCAGCTCTTCACTGTTTCGTGTGTGTGTGTGTGTGTGTGTGTGTGTGTGTGTGTGTGTGTGTGTGTGTGTGTGTGTGTGTGTGTGTGTGTGTGTGTGTGTGTGTGTGTGTGTGTGTGTGTGTGTGTGTGTGTGTGTGTGTGTGTGTGTGTGTGTGTGTGTGTGTGTGTGTGTGTGTGTGTGTGTGTGTGTGTGTGTGTGTGTGTGTGTGTTCTCTCGTAGCTCTCTGATTGGAGAAAAGGAGTCTTCAGAGAGGACGAACAGTCAGAGAGAGTGAGTATCA